TATGCTGCCTCTGCCAGGCTCTAATGACTGAGCAGGGAGGAGAGGGAAGGCAGGATCTGGCTGGGCCGAATCGTTGGGTCTGCGCCACAGACCCTGGCTGCCTTCAGCCAATATCATTCCCCCATTTGCTTACTAAATAATTGAGCAGGTTTTCTATTAAGCCTCCTTTGGAGTGAGCTAATGGACTGGCGTTGGCCAGAGCTGGTGTCAGGATCTTGGTGAGAGTGAGCGGCAGCGAAAAAGGTGAGGCCTGAAGGTGAGGCTGTGGTCCCTTGTGTGTGAGGGTGCACTGTAATTAGAACTGGGCATATAGGTTGGAATGGGCTTTGTGGGAAGTGAGTGGCCATCCCAGGGTGGAGATGAGCTGTGTTGTGCCAGGGCTTGGCCACTGCCCTGCTCCTCAGGCTTCCCCCGTGCCCCATGGACATGGACACCATCCCCTGAGAGGCAGGGACGTGGTGCTCTCAGTGTGAGGCTGGAGGGTTAGGGCACAGGCAAGGAGCCAACAAACCGGTCTGCAGTGAACTGTACAGGACAAGTCCCAAACAATCTTCACGGTGCATCTCCCAGGGAGGTCTGCCCAAAAGATGGAGAAGACAGGTGGGAAAGCTCTGTGCTTACCAGGAATGTGGTGGTACCAGCCATGAGAGCACAGGACAGGGTTGCTGGTTCAGAAACAATCACACTGTGCTAGTGGGATGCTGAGCAGGAGCCAGTGGGACCTGCCAGAAGGAGCAGCACTGGACTGATGTGGTGTTGAGATAATTCTGTCTGGGCTTCTGCACTCTTCTCCTTTGCTCACTATAGATGGGTGCAGAGGGATGGACTGGCAGGAGGGAGGAGACCGAGGTTTCCTGGACAGAAGTAACATGTGAGCAGAATAGTGAGGAAGCACAAGACTGGGTGAACGAGGCAGACTAAGCAGACTCTGCTCAGTTACTAGATGATTTTGGTATCACCTCCACTGGAAACATTACAGAAGATCCTAGTCTGCAGGTTCCTAAACAGGTTGGCCACCTGGCAGTGCTCAAGCACTACTGGGACTGGGGGGACTTGGTTGGTCCCCCTGAACGTAGTAGTTTTCTGCATAGTTTTCTCATAGAACCTGTAATTACTGATCACTTAAACATCCATGCTCCTTCAACTCATGTTGATGAGTAAGATTGTGGTGGAAGGAGGGGCAGGAGTAGACATGTCTGAGTCTGAAGACTCAGAAAATGAGTGGTACTCCAGTCTTGCCATGTGTAACACAACAGGGTGAGTGTGAGCCTGAGGATGGAGGAATGACCAGCACAGACCTAGGGTTCACAGTTACAAAGGAGTCTGGTCTAACTGATCTTACAGTTTTTACAAGCTGGCATCTCCAAACACTGCATCCTGAGCAGTGGGACTGCCAGGGCTGGGCTCTCCCAGCCCCTCAGGTCTGTTGGCCACATGCTGCGAGGTAGGAACTGCATCGTGCTGCTCAGCACCAAGCTTTGCTGCTTTGAGCTCTTTGGAGCATCATAAGGAAAGGATCCAGGACCAACCATGTTCATCATGTGTCCATCCCTGGTGGCAGGAGGATAGGCAGGGACTGGCATTCAGCATGCCTGCATTGGCCTGGCTGAGGTGTGAAGTGCCAGGAGTGCCAGGAGTCAGCATTGGAGGCTGGTCCCCAAAACTAGTCCTTATCCCAAAGCTAGTCCTTGTCCCCACGCACGCAGGCACAGGTCCCTGCTTTGTGCTGACCCATTGCTTTACCCTCCAGAGTAAAGGAGCAGGAGAGTGGTTTGGCAGGGAGCCAGGGTTGTAGTGGTGCAGACGGCTGCCAAGGGAGGACAGTGTATTCCTTGGGGAACAGCCATTAGGCTCTCCATCTCCTGCCTGTTAGAGATGCTGTGCTCCTGGCTATGTTTTTGCTTGCTAAGATGTTCTGCCTTTTAGGCTGCTTAATGAACTGCTTTGACAGTTTGAACTGCCTTCCCTTGCTCGTTGGAGCAGCAATGTGGTGTGGGTCCTTTCCGAGCATCAGGAAGGTGTGAAAAGCTGCAGCAGGATTTTCCTTGGTGAAGGCAGTAGAATCCCTTGTGGGCAGCACTGCTACAAACCTCAGATACACCGTCCCCGGCAGAACAGGGCTCAGCCTTCCTGCAGGGATAGCAAAATTGCAGCCAGCCTAGAAGAGCTCTCCTGGTCTTCTCCATGCTGGTGTGTCCCTGGAGAGGCCCCCGCAAGCTTTTCTTACCATTTCTTGGCTTGAGCTTTCCCCAATCTTCAGTTGTTATCCTCAGGTGAGGATGCAGGAGCATTAATGCCTGGAAAGGTGGTGTTGGCACCAGGAGAGGGGAAGGTTTGCAAGGAGACACCCACTCTGGATGCTGGAGCCTAGAGCTTTACCCTTCCTTTTGGAGGAAGAGGTGGTGCTTAGATGCAACATGGGCCACGCTCAGGACAGTGCCGTTGTACGGTTTGGACCTGGGCCCTCTGAGCTGGACTCTTCTTTCCCAGATGTTCCCAGGGCAAATTCAAGTCATCCTTCCCACGTGATCCCTGTCTGGGTGCAAAGCCAGGGAATGGCAGCAGCTTAGCTTCATCCTCAAGGGGCCACTCACCTATCTGTCTGGCACCAACACACCTCGTCACCCTCTGGCAGCATGGCCGACACAGCGTCCTGGGCTTGTCAGAACGCTGTGCTAATGCAGGCTGGCAGGGCCCGCCGTGGCGGGTGTAGGGCAGTGAGGGCACAGGCCAGCAGGGCCTGTCGCTCCACATCCCATCGCCTTCCCCAGCCACTGAGCAGGGCCGCGGGGCACGTGGCACCAGGGCACGTATCGCACGGAGCTGCGCACAACGGCAGTGTCAGGAGGGTGCTGGGAAGCTGCAGCTGGCTCAGGAGAGCTGCTCTCCCAAATGCTCTCTCCTCCTTGGATGGGGGGTTGAGAAGCAGTTTAGACAAGTTCTTTGGACACAGTTGAGTTTTTACTGAGAAAAAGGCTGCTTGTTTCATGGCTGAAAACGTTGAAGGATGGGTGCTAGTGCTGTACCAATGCTGCAGGGACCTTCCCCTCTCACCAGCCACAGGGCTGCCAGCAGCTCTTTGTGCTGGAGCTGCAGGTCTGTGAAGGGTCCTGGTCCCTATCTGCTACCCAGGTTCTGTCTTGAGCTGTGCTCCTGCCTGCAGGGTGGCCTGACATGCCCTAGGCTGCAGGTGACAGACACATTCTCCTGCTCTGGCTGTGATTCTTGTGGCTGGCAGATAGGTGGGATACCCTAATCCCTCTGTGGGATCAGGCAGGTGTTGTGGGGGCAGAGCCGCTCTCTGAAACAAGCTGATGCAAGCCTGGGTGCCAGGGAAGGCAGTGCAGGTTGCAGTGAGGTGGGGGCTCCATCCACAGGGAGCACTGGGACTCAGCTAAAGGCAGGGCCAGTCCCATCCCGAGCAATGCCTCTCCACTGCATCTAAACCCTGCTTGTCCCTTCTGGGGGCTGGATATGTGCTTGTGTCCATCAGTGCTGCTCCCTCTCCAGCTCCTAGGCATCACTTTGGGGACCCGCCTTCCTAGGGACAAACCACTGGATACTCTTCTCACACCAGTCCCAGGCCGCTAGCTCTGCCCAGCACATTAAAACCCCTCACTGAGGCCACCCGAGCAGCACTTAATGGGAACAGAGGCTGCAAACCACTGGATACTCATCTCACACCAGCCCCAGGCCGCCAGCTCTGCCCAGCACATTAAAACCCTTCACTGAGGCCACCCGAGCAGCATTTAATGGGAGATACTCTTCTCACACCAGTCCCAGGCCGCTAGCTCTGCCCAGCACATTAAAACCCCTCACTGAGGCCACCCGAGCAGCACTTAATGGGAACAGAGGCTGCAAACCACTGGATACTCATCTCACACCAGCCCCAGGCCGCCAGCTCTGCCCAGCACATTAAAACCCTTCACTGAGGCCACCCGAGCAGCATTTAATGGGAACAGAGGCTGCCAGTGCAAATCCT